CTGAGTGGTGATTTCCATGGGGAAAGGTGGGAACTGTGTCAGGCAATGAGCCCAAGCTGCAGCCTCTTTGGAGGTTCAGCCTCTTGTGCAGAACGAGGATTTTCTTGGCCACAGGTGATTGCAGAGTCTGTTCCTGCCCAGGTGCAGTGATGCTCAGGGAGCGGGTGAGGGGATGGAGAGGCTGCACCTTCTGGCTCTGTTGTGACTCACTCTGCTGCTCTTGCTCACCTCACAGTCTCTACCAAACTGCCTGTGATGGTCTTCATCTATGGTGGTGCCTTCCTGGTGGGAGGGAGCCAGGGAGCCAATTTCCTGGATAACTACCTGTACGATGGCGAGGAGATCGCCGTGCGGGGCAACGTCATCGTGGTCACCGTCAACTATCGCCTGGGGCCCCTGGGCTTCCTGAGCACGGGAGATGAGAACATGCCAGGTACCACAGCTGCTCCCTCTGTGTCTGGGGGGACCCTGTGCTGGGTCAGCTTTGCTGTGCCCTTGCTCAGTGGTGGGTGCTCTGTGCTGCTCAGGAAACTATGGGCTGAAGGACCAGCACATGGCTATTGCCTGGGTGAAGAGGAACATCAAGGCCTTTGGGGGTGACCCAGAAAACATCACCATCTTTGGGGAGTCAGCTGGTGCCGTCAGTGTCTCCCTGCAGGTGAGTTGTGTCTGTCACTCCCCGCTAGAGCCACTTCTGTGTAAATGGGGGAGAGGGACCCCTCGGCACTGTGACACTTTCCTCCCCAGGCTGGGTGCACAAGCTGCGAGGTGATCAGTGGGGTGTGGCACATAATGGTGTCTTCATGAATTTTTACCTGAAAGCCTCTTGTTTCCATCCTGCACCCCAGACCTTGTCCCCAAAGAACAAGGGCCTGTTCAAGAGAGCCATCAGCCAGAGTGGTGTCGGGGTCTGCAGCTGGGCCATCCAGAGGGACCCCCTCTTCTGGGCTAAAAAGGTAACATTCAAGTCTTTCCTGAGTTACTGGAAAAAGACCAAAATATTGATTCCCTAGAGGGCAGCATAAATAGGAGCTGTGCCCAACTGAACTTTGGAAACGTGATGCTTTGTAGATTAAAACAAATGCACCCCTCTGCCTCTATAACATCAACCCCTGTCTTTGGGAGGTAATGCCCTGTGGTTTCTCTCTCTCTCCTCCTGCAGCTTGGAGAAAAGCTGGGCTGCCCCACAGACAACACAGCCATCTTGGCCAACTGCCTTCGTGTCTCTGACCCCAAAGCCTTGACACTCGCCTACCACCTTCAGCTGACAAACCTGCCCTGTAAGTCCCCTGGCCCACGTGGTGATTCCCCATCCACTCAGGGCTCCCCAAACCTCTGGCAGGACACCGAGGTGATTGCCAGGAGTGTTGAAGCAGTGCTTGTGTCCTTCAGAAAGAGGGCAATAATGACAGATCTTGCAGTCACCCTTCCTTAGGCAGGTGCACACTGTGCTGGATGAGCACAGCCCACCTCAGCCTAACTTTTTCACAGCTCTTTGAGTCATTGCAGAATACCCACCTGTCTGTTCTCACCTCCTAACAGACTCTGGGTTTGTCTCCTGCTGCAGCTCCCCTGGTGCACACCCTGGCCATCACTCCTGTTGTGGATGGAGATTTCCTGCCAGACATGCCAGAGAAGCTCTTTGCCAACGCTGCTGACATTGACTACCTGGCTGGGGTCAACGACATGGACGGGCACTTCTTCGCCGGCGTGGATTTACCCGCCATCAATGGCCCACTGAGGAAAATCTCTGCGTGAGTGGGAGAGGCTCTGAAAACCCTCAGCAGGAGGGATCTTCTCTTTAATGTGGCTCCCAAACTCTGAGCACTTAAACTTGAGGGGACAGGGCTCGACCTCCAAAACAGGCTGTCACTCCGAGCCTGGGTGCCCAGGGCTTGTGTTGCTGAGCCCAGAGCCTTCAAGAGAAAGAGCCAGGCAATGGACCTGCCCCACTGGAAGCTGCTGGTCAGTAAGTAGTTGATATTACTTGTCTTTTCAGGGAACAGGTCTATGATTTGATCAAAGGGCTGACCGTGGACAGGGGTGAGGCTGGAGCCAACGCCACGTACGGTATCTACACCCAGAGCTGGGAGGAGAACCCGAAGCAGGAGGTCATGAAGAGGACAGTGGTGGACCTGATCACTGACTACATCTTCCTGGTCCCCACCCAGTGGGCCCTGAATCTGCACCTGCAGAACGCCCGGTGAGCAGTTCTGCCCTGGCAGGAAGACTGAGCTGGACTGGGGGCCCAAAATGCTGCATTCCCAGCATTAGGGGTTGAGGAGCCGGTTAAGAGAGCTCTGCTCTCCACTCACAGCTGCTTAGCCAGTCTCTTTTATTTCCCCAGGAGTGGCAAGACATACAGCTACTTGTTCTCCCAGCCGTCCCGCATGCCCGTCTACCCCAGCTGGGTTGGGGCAGACCACGCTGATGACCTGCAGTACGTCTTTGGCAAGCCCTTTGCCACCCCTCTGGGCTACCTGCCCAAGCACAGGACTGTCTCCAAGGCCATGATCGCTTACTGGACCAACTTTGCCAGGACTGGGTGAGTGATTCCTGTTCCACATTTGTGGTTTGCTGTGACTCTTCAGCCTGCTGCCTTTGTCCAGGAACTTCTCAGGATCATTCCCCAAAGCAGAGTGTTCTCTGCCTGTAATTCTGTTCTGAGCCGGGCTCTGTGTCTCCCAGTGGTGGAGTTTGCTCTGGGTCCTCCTCATCCATAACACACCTGAGGAGAGGAGGAGCATTTTCAGAGCTTGTGAACTCTGATTATACTTAGTGATGAGGTTCATTCCTTAATCCTTGTGTTCATACAGGACTCAAATCCCTGCATGTAGCCAGGGATGATGCCAGTGGGGACTGATGGAGGAGACTGCAGGTTGGCAAGTCACTCCTGGCAGGCAGAATTCCTATTGCTTGTGCCAGTGTCAAACACTCTGTGTGCACTCACTAAATGCTTTATTCACAAGCTTCCATGATAAAACTGAACTTGTCTGTCTCTTTTTTTCTCCAGTGATCCCAACAAGGGGAATTCAGACGTGCCTGTTTCCTGGCCAGCCTACAGCAGCAATGGCGCTTACTACCTGGAGATCAACAACAAGATGAACAAGAACTCCGTGAAGAAGGACCTGAGATCCCAGTTTGTGACCTTCTGGAACTCGGTCTATCGGAGCCTGCCACAGGTTGCCAACATCACCCAGTCGGAGTTAATGTTCTGAACCTAAGCAAAAAAGCACTTTTTAAAGATCAATTAAAGGCTTGTTTGTAACTGAGCGACTCTGGTTCTCCTCGTGTTTGCCATGCCAGGGTTTTGTCACTAACCTGAATGTCAGGCAGGAAGGGCCATCTGTGGGCAGTGTGTGTGTCCCCTGGCCCGTGACACCCTGATGTCCAGGGAAGCTGTTGACAGCCAGGGCCCAGTGTCTCCCCTCTCAGCCTGTTGGCTCTGGAGTTGTTTTCCCTCATTGCCCACGTGGTCCCAGGCAGGACAGCACCAGTCCTGACTGGATATCCCCATGTTACCATCAGTGTCCCTGCTCATACCAACCAGCTCTTAGACAGCTGCAGGTGCAACAGGTGAATACAAACCAGTCCTGACCTGTTGCTGATCATCACTCAGGAACTGACTGGGGCAAAATAAACCCACGTGGGATGTGATTCCACAGGGGTTTTTGGGTAGAGGCTGGGCTGGACCAGGCTGGGGAGCTCCAGCTCCAAGCAGGCAGGGCAAGGAGCACAACCAGCCACAAGCCTCATCCTACACATTCCCCTCTTCACCCACCAAGGCAGAGCCTGGCCCTGGTACCACACAGTGCGGTCTGTGGCTGTACTGGAGCTGTCCCAAAATCCAGGTTCATGTGGGTGGAAAATCCTGGGCTGGTGTGAGACATTGGGGCCGTGCTGCAGACACAGGCAGGAGAGCAGGGGTTGTGTGGATGTGGAGATTCTGCTGTGCATGTGGAGATCCTCCATGCAGAGGGGCTGGAGGGTGGGGAGCCCAAGCCAGGAGGGGCCAGGGCCAGGGCCAGGGTGAGGGAGCACCCCCCACACTGGAGCTGACCTCCTGCTGCTTCCAGTGAGCTGGAACCAAGGGCAGGGTTTGCAGGAGTCAATGCCATATGTTCCTGTGGCCCATGACCACCTGGTCCCAGTTCAGTTTTCCAGAACATTCTGTGAGTTCTGCAAGAAACATCTTTCATATTCTCACCGGTGTCCTTCATCTGCACCTTTTAAAGGAATAGGAATTTCTAGATTGAACTGGTACCTGCATTTCCCTCTTGCTTTGCCCCTGTACCACTGAGTAGCTGCAGTAGCTGCAGGAGGGCAAATGCAGAGGGTGAAGCCTTTAGTGCTCAAATACATTTCATGCAGATCAGGCCCAGGTGCCTGAGGTTTTTGTGCCAGAGCACCTCTGTCAGTGTGCAACTGGATGCAGCTTGGAAGGGTATCTTTAATATAAATGTTCTTTCCTCAGTGGTGTCATGAGAGCCTTTCATGGTACCAGGATGTGAAAAGGGAGGTTGGGCCAAAGTTAAACCAACCCGTTGCTCACCTGGCTGAGTCCCTTCTCTTCTGAAATCGGGAGCACAAATTTCATTTTTGCAGATTCACTGAAAAGCTCCAATTACAACATACAATGCATATGAATCCTTTCCTTTGTTCCTTCTCTTAGGAATCCATCTACATTTTCCATAAGGAGCCTTACCCCCTTATGGCAGATGTTCTACCAGCTCTGTGATTGATTGTGCAAAGGTGTTGCACAGGCAGCTGAGTGTTCTGTTAGAGGCAGACTTCAAAGCCTTTCCACTCCCCTCTCTCTCCTTCACAGATACAACAAGCAGAGAGGATGGCAAAGAGCAGCTGGCAGATGAGCCTGCAGAGAGATGAGGGTGATGAGGGTGAGGAGGAGGAGGAAGGCTTCAAGCCTTGTAATGGGAGTGACAATGAAGTGAAGACAGAAATTCTGGACTATGTGTGAACTTGATGAGAAGTTTGGCTGATGCTGGATGGAATCATCCTTAAGGATCGATGTCCTTTTCTGAGTCTGGTGCATTCCCCGCATGTTCTGAGGGAGGGTGGGCTGGGAGTGGGTCTGTGTGGGGGACTGGCCAGGGCAAGGTGTGGGTGCTGGTGGCTTGGGAAGACTAAGGCATGAGGAACTGAGCAATGGATTGTCTCTTCTCCGTGGTACCCCCTGTAGCTGGGTGTGGTGCACACCGAGGGCGGTTTTGTGGAAGGCGAGAGTAAGAAACTGGGACTGTTTGGGAGCTACGTCGACATCTTCAGA